CTGCAATAGAGAAAACTGTTGACAGCATGGAATATTAAACAGGAAATAATCTCATCCCCTTTATCAGATCTGTATCTGTTTGGTGTACTGAGGCAGCAGGGTTCATTATGCAGCCCAAAACCAGGCTTAATATTACCATTTACCTTAAACAGTGATGTGAGGAAAGTCAATTAAAGCCAAACATTACGGACTGTCACATACTACTATTCCTACTAATAATAATAATAATAAAAATAATAAAAAAAATAGGATAACAAATTACATTCACTATTAAAAGTGAAACAACTGGTTGATTATTGATTAATTATAATTTATCAGCTCAAGATGACAAACATGCACCTTCACTTACAATGACTCATATACAGAGGGAGTAAAGTGTTGTTTTACAGGAGCATCTGGTCAGATAATGTGTGAGTGTGTGTGTGTGTAGGAATGTAGAGCCTCGTTGGTACCTGCAACAGGAGCACTGGGTGTGGCACTGCTGATGTGTCCAAGATGGAAATATGACACAAAACACATTACCGTCTGTGGAGAGATTAAACTAATATAAACCAATATGTGTGACTGCCACACAGTCCTACAGTGTGTTCATATATTGATTACTTAATGAGTTTAGTGACAGGTTAATGTGTGAGAGTGTAAATACAGTGCAGTAATTGTCTCTCACAGGATGTAAGTCTAACTTATCTAACTCTTTACTTAACAAAAACTATAAATTAATTTTTAAAAAAGAGAAACAGTCTTAGTGTATCAACCACAACACATCCCAAACAAGAGGAAGTGTCTACCTGCACTTTGTCTCCCATCCACCAATGGTTTAATTTCCTACCATATATGGTCAGAGAGAGGAGACAGAGAAAGAAAAAGATTTCCAGAAAAAGAGAAGGCTTCTGAGAGGTGGAGGGAGGAGGTGTGGTCTACAGCTGTGTTTTTTTTGCTGCAGAGTGTAAAGTTTCTTTTCAAAAACCCGGTCATTACCCCGAGCCCCGGTCCTCCTGTGGTTTTCAAATCTGTCACACATCAAAGATGAGCTGATAGAAACATAGGGGCGGCATGTCGCAGCATGAATGAAAGAGAGCAAGGACACACACACACAAACACACTGTGAGGATTATAAGCTGTGTACATACACTTTGTTTTATGACAAATGTACACTGCAGGCAATACACATAAAGCTATAATACACAATACTTTAGATTTATTGAATCCTTGTTCTGATGTGGTTTTATTGTATCAAAGGTATCAGATCAGGTGACATGTTGGTAACAAACAAGCTTATTAGACACAACCCTCAAAGAATATCTTCACATTGAAAGCATCTAAGTCACTTTAACTGTTCTTAATGTATGAACTTGCTGCAAGAAGTTCCCTTGTTAGACATTAAAAAATTATGTGCAAAGTTAAGACAAATCAAGCAGGTATCTTCCAAAGTTACAGTCTATTTAGTATTAAATTCCCACTTTGTGTTTCTGTTCCTCTGCCACAAAGATACTCAAAAAGGAAACACAGAATGAGGACTCATCACATCGCATCACTTACTGAAACTGCTTTATAGAGAGATCTTTCTGGAGGCCAGTGTCCCTTTGTACACTGTCGATGTGTCAACAGTCCAATGTACATATGAGCATGTGAGTTATAGAGTTAAAAATGTGAAGCTTTCTGTTAACAGTTCATTTTTCAGCCTCCGTCCATCCTGCTTTACAAACAAAATCTCTATAAAAATTAATTTAGCTTCTGTTCAACCACATTTGGTAAAACTCTCTTTTATCTTTACATAAGTACTAGAACACATACAATATACTGAATATGAAACTATAAAATATAGTAAATATGCCTCTTTGATTCTATAAAAATGATACTAAATTAACCTCAGCTAACCAACAGTCACAACACTGAAGACTATTTATACTATACCAGCTATTTTACACATTATTGTATATATTTCAGCTGTAACCTGTGTGTGTTTTGTATTGTGGTGTTTTAATGTGCATACTGTGAAAACAAGTGTCACCTTGGAGGGTGGTAATGTGTCCGATTGTGTTTTTTTTTTACCCAGTCGTCACAGTTAGCTCATTTTTACAGCCACAGGGCGCAGTCTGTTGTTACACCACTGCACATATAACTCAGCTTGCCGCCGCTCGCTTCTGGACAGGGAAACTGTCTCACACACCTCATAATGCCTCCGTGTACGATGATCATAATTATATATTTTTTTCTGCATAATACACATGCCAACAATGTAGATACAATAACATTCCCCAAACCAGAAAAGAAGTGTTTCAAGGTAGTTAACAGGATTCAAATATGCATCATCTGTTGTTGTGTAAGATTTCAGCTAAGCAAAAGCAGAGTCATGTCCTGTCATGTCATGTCATGCAGGTAATTGTGGTGAATTTCATTGTGGGGGAAAGTGCAACTGGGACTGTTGTCAGAAAAGGTCTGCATGGAAGTTCATTCTGACATGTTTGAGCACATAAGCCTGCCTGTGTTTGGTGGATAGAGGACAGATTTAACAAGTGTCATTAAGAGTTATTTTAGATAAATGAGAGGCAGAAGGTCAGTGAATTACACCCAAACACAACTTCACTCGTTTACTCCACCGATCATCTGCTGCCCCGCTCAAATACCTCCAGGATTATTTTAAACACAAGTTTGGAAATGTCAGATTTAAAAGGGGTTGTTGTGGAGGGACTTGTCATTTCTCACACACTCTGCTTCCTCATGTGGTTCAACCCTCGGCTTACACTGATGAAGAGTGCACCCCGCTGTGGACAAACCTGGCAATTACAAGCTAAAGCGTGTGCACATTCAGAACATGTTTGCCAACCATTTGTATGTGTGTATGTGTGGAAAACAAAAATATGAAATTAAACTTGAGAATAGTGAATATAGTTTGAAATGAAGGGGCACATGAAGCTCAGAGGAGTACAACTGGGCCTGTAGTTGTCTGCTGAGGCTCTGGTAGAGCTCCTCAAATATCTCAGTTTGGGTTTCAGACTTAAAACAGAAAGCTGGAGGAGGTGAAATTTGTCATGGAGGTAAACCGTGTGTGTGTGTGTGTGTGTGGTGTGTTGTGTGGTGTGTGTGTGGTGTGTGTGAGAGAGAGAGAGAATGAGTGTCAGCTATTTGAAATCTTTGTTTTTTAAACCCAACACACTGCTGGAAAAGAAAACATGCCACCATGACGCTTCCTTTTTTTTTTTAATGAGTTTTTATTTATTTATTTATTTGATTTTTAAGTGTTTTATTATTTTTTTTCTCCAAAAAAATCCTGAGGTATTCACAATATAATGGCATTTATTCTGTTTGAAATGAGACTCGTGGGGGGTGGGGAGGGGGGGATAAAATACAGCCAAAAACAAAATAAAAACAAACAAACAAACACAAAAAATAAAATAAAGAAACAGGCAGTAAAGCTGTGTCGATTGATACAACTGTCAAGACAATAAATCCATGGCGTCGTACATACAAGAAGCCTCTGAACTGCAACAGCAGTGACTGAAGTCAATCCTCCCCCCACCCGGCAAACTAGATAAGTCATGCAATCTAGACTTAGAACTGGATTCTGAAAAACCAAGCAACAAACCTCAATGATATTTCAAAGCAGGCGTGTCCCACCTCGCTAACAGGGAGTGCAGGTTAATAACAAGCCAATCAGTCCACTATCATAGTAGTTATCATCAGTTGAAATACCTAAACCGTAAAAACAAAAACATCTAGTCTGCTTTGTAGCTGACATTCAGTACTTACTGATAAAAACCATCCAAGTTTCAAACAATACAAGCTTTAACTGTGAGTTATTAGCAAAGCACTAGAGTTCAAATACACCATGCTGTGGCTACTCAGCTTTAACCCATGAGCAGTTTGTTTGTTGGGGCCTTCTGAGAGGGTAAACAGTAAACAAAATAATGGATGTCAGTAAGTCGGTCACAGTCACAGTAAAGCCAGAAACATTGCACCTTACTGTGCTGTAGGTTTCTATTTTTAGCTGTAACTAGTTACTTTATAGACTGTACGTTAGTGTGATGGTTGAATACAATATTTTGCTTTCTGTACACAAATGTAAAATGCCAATGAGAGACTACTCCTCTACCTTGAGTCCTGTTTGCCCTCCGCAAAAAAGCAATACAAATAAAAACAAACCAAGAAAAACATACAAATGACCAATAAATAAATATCAGTGAAAAAAATACACTGTAGAATCATTTTTCTTG